GACCGCATGGCTCAAGGTGGACATTGTGGCTTATATAATCGTTTAACATATTTAATATTCATTGTTGAATTACCACAAATTGTATTATAATTAGAAAAAAGACGTTTTACAACGCCCGGTGTATATTTTACTACGAAGCATTCGGCGTTTTGATAATGTTGAAAGGTAATAGTTATTTCAATGCCATTAAGACTACTGCAATTTCATGTCACGGTGACAGAAATTTGAAGACTAACGGAATGTTGTCAGTAATACAATAACTTTTTATATTTTTGACGTTCTTTTTGATCTTGCTGTATTGTTTTATGAGGAAATAGCAGGAATACACAAATGCATTTTATTTGATTTGAAAAATCAATACATTTTTTTTTATTGTGGGGTGAACGAGCTCACGGCCCACCTGGAGTTAAATGGTGGAGCCTATAGACATCTTCAACGTAAATGCCATCACCTACCTTGAGATACGAGTTCTTAGGTCTCCGTTTTTACAGTCCAACGGCTGCCCCACCCTTTAAACCGAAATGTGTTACTGCTTCACGGCAGGAATAGGCTGGTTCGTGGTACCTATCCGAGCGGATTCACAAGACGTCCTACCGCCAGTCATTACGCGTAATTATAATTTTGCGGATTGGATTTTTATTACACGATGTTATTCCTTCGCCGTGAAAGTCAATCGTGAACATTTGTTAAATACGTGTTTTATTAGAAAAATTGGTACTTGCGAGCGGGATTCGATCACCGGTGCATCGTTAGGTACGAATGCACCGGACGTCTTATCCTTTAGGCTACGACGACAACTTAAAAGGAACAAAAAAATACAAGCAGTTCTAAGCGCAATGGAATAAGTTACATTTCGCCTCGAACCAGAACGCTAATTGCTCTTCGGCAAAAATATAGAAGACGCCGTAAAAACCTTTTGCTCTGACGGTACATAATAGACAATGATGAATAAGTAGACGCAGTATTTATCGTTACGACTAGCAATTTTCCTTCTCTAGACGAAACACCTTGTGGATCACGTTGCAGCGTTTCCGCATCCGCATTAAGTCGTTTTCATACCAGTTGATTGACTCGTTATTGAACAGCAGTCTTTTAATTTAATGCTTATGTAACACACAATTGAGTAGTCTATTATCAAAGGTGGCAATCTGTGCATTTGGACAAAAAAATGTTATTGATATGTCAATACAGATTGATTTGAATATAATCGTCTCCTTCAAAGAATACGGTTCGAAACCTGCATTAAATAAAGGTTAATACTTAACCTGTTATTTATCTAAGATGTCGTTCAAAAGAGTTTTGTGACTGCCAATGGAATACAAAGTCAATAATTCGTTTTTCTGATTTACCAATAATTGTCCAAAAGTCACATTGCCGGCTTTGATAATAGTCGACTCAATTTAGCTTTTCTATAATATTTAATATATGACACACCTACTGCTATCTGTTTGGTAGACTGTTATTGGTATACTACGATATATTATTAAACTTAGTACAATAGTAGTAATAATAGTAGGCTTGGCTGTGCTATTGGAAACCAATTATGAATCCAAAATAATTTGAATAGGATTTCCACAGATTTTTAGGGTCCTACATATACTCGATTTTTGAACCACGTGCGTATGTCCCATCCACCACCACCATCCCGTTTTTTATGGTGCGAAGCAAGCATGCCTTCCCGTTCGTAGGATGGGTAACCGTTTTAATATCACGGAACTTTACTTCATTATTTCAATGTGGGTGGCGAAATTATGGGACCTGGTAACTGCCTAACACCAGATGGTTCATGAGACTATCTGCCCATTTGCACCAATAAAGAATACATTATTTTCAAAGCGTCTCTGGAAAGATACGTAGGCACGTTTAATAAAAAAATTCTCTGTCCTTTATATTCATTTGGACTTCCTTTAATGTATAATGAGGATGAATCATAGATCTGTTTGTTACATTAGTAACAAAATATGCTCGTTGTTTATGTACAGTAATGTACAAAAGTAGTTTTTGTTATTACATATTTATTCTTTACGGCATTCAAGAAATTGCACCGAACAATTTCAAAATTTTAAATATTATATAATACATATTATGTATTTGTACTCTATGTTACGACAAACCTCACGATAAGTTCTTACTGTAGCCTGTAAGCACCATAACGTAAATAACGCACCTTGGACAAAAGAAATCGTGGTCGAATGAGTCGAAAAAGAGTTCTACCACCAAGAAACGCCAGTTTTTTTTTATTGCCTAAGTATGTAGACGAGCTCACAGCCCACCTGCTGTTAAGTGGTTACTGGAACCCATAGACATCTACAACGTAAATGCGCCACACACCTTGAAATATAAGTTCTAAGTTCTCAGTAAAGTTACGACGGCTGCCCCACCCTTCAAACCGAAACGCATTACTGCTTCAATATGATAATATATGTGGAAGTTTACTCGTTTAATACTTAGAGAACAATCAGAGAAGGAACCCATTATCCGATAAGACCCATAGTCGCCTTTACGACATCCAACACAACACAGGCAGTAGGCAAAGTCTTGATTGGGCTCCTGATAACACTGGTCTTCATGGATGACGATGAAAACGCAGATGGGATGGGCCGTACGCTCATCTCCCTTCTTCGAATGCAAAAAACAATATAAATAATTTTTTATATGTAGTAAGACACAAATGCAAAAGAATGGGTAGCAGTATTCTCTTGAGTATTACACAAACATACTGCGTTCACCGAATAGCATTTATTGGTGATACGGTGTATTCTAAATCCCAGAGGATCCGTACCGCCAAAGTAAATTGTAGGCAGTGAGCTAATTCACTCACTGACGTAATAAAAACAATAGACAATGCATTTGCACATAATAAATACATACACGATTGCCTGTTCATTGAACTTGAGATAATCATTACGATAATGACAGCTCTTGTATTTCAAGATATGCAAATGGCAGCTATCACGGACGATGTACCTACATTACCACATATACTATACTAAGCAGCGTATAAGGGCCTCGCTCCCAAAACCGAAAGGGGAAACCGTGAGCATCACACCTAGTACTTCACAGGCGTTCAGAAACGGCTTCCAAGATGAAAGAATAATCTATACTAGTGGTCCCGCAGTAGTCGAAATTCGACTATAATTAATTGAAATTATAAATTTCAACATTATTATGGTCCTCTTGTTACAGATTTCGCCAAGACTACACTAAAGACAAATACTTGTAATATTAAAGATAAACAATACTAACCTATTTTCAATTTGACTACAGACTTTAAGCAATAACAACAGTTTGACTATAAACAAAGAGTATATGTATGTGTATCAAATACATGGTAGGGTGTGTAATGTTTTTTTTATTGATTTAATGTATCTTTTATGCATTATTTAAAAAAAATATTAGCATTGTGCACTTCTTTTCTATATTCTCTATAAGTGTGGAAAATTTCATACTCCTCCGTCCGCCCAATTTTCAAAAAAAGTATACAAAGTTTTTGCTTCACGTATTAATATATCTATATATATATATAAAAATGAATTGCTGTTTGTTAGTCTCGCTAAAACTCGAGAACGGCTGGACCGATTTGGCTAATTTTGATCTTGAATGATTTGTGGAAGTCCAGAGAAGGTTTAAAAGGTAGATAAAAATTAAAATGCTCAGAATTAAATAAAAATAACAATTTTGTTTTTCCTTTGCTGTGTCCCCCGTCAGACGGATTCCTTTTGTTTGTTTTAAGTTTATTTTATACAAAACTTTCGGTCTTTTATTTATCGATTGAGGCACTATGAAGTCTGCCGGGTCAGCTAGTCGTGTAATAAAAATTACTAGTTGTACTTAATTACTGGTGGTACCGCGTATTTTAATGCCCGAGGGTACATACCACCACCTATTTATTTCTGCAGTGAAGCACTCGTACGTTTGAAGAGTAGTTCAATAGGAGTACCATAAGATTGTTTGACATCACGTCTCAAGGTGGGTAGCGGAAATAGTATTGAGATGTCCATAAGCTACGGTAACTAGTTGACACTATATACACCCTTTTGTATAGCAATAAAAGCAATAGGCCAGACGATGGTCCAACTTGCGAGGTCCACAATACCCCCTACTAACGGCATACACTAGCTGTACTATTCAGTAAACGTTGACGACTATGAGAAGAGATAGAGTAATACATCATCATCATCAGCCTGTATCTCTCCACTGCTGGATGTAGGCCTCTCCCATAGTCCGCCACAATGAACGATCCTCTGCCTTCCGCATCCAATCTCTCCCAGCATATCATCGGTCCAATGGGCAGGGGGAGGCCCAACGCTGCGCTTACCAGTACGCGGTCTCCAGTCCAGAACACGTCTGCTCCATCGGCCATCGGTTCTGCGACACGTATGTCCGGCCCATTGCCACTTCAGCTTGCTAATCTTTAGGACTATGTCGGTTACTTTGGTTCTTTGACGGATTTCATCATTTCTGACTCGATCCATCAAAGAAACTCCGAGCATACCCCTTTCCATAGCTCTGGAGAGTAGTACTATTCTGGGATATTATACGGCAATTTTTACTACTGACATTTGAGTTAATTTGACGATTGATCTAATCTTAATATAGGTAATTCTTGTATTCGGATGTATGCTAGTAAACTACTCCTAAACGACTGGACCGATTTTGATGATTTTTTTTTGTGTGTCCCAGTAAATTAGAGAATGGTTTTGATTCATAATACGAAATTGTATTTTTTTTTCTTTTTTCTACAAACCGGTCCAGATTACTATAACTTATTCAAAAAAGTGTAATTTTCAGATATAAGACGTACATATAAACAAGACATGGTCTATCGGGTCCGCTTTTACGGTAGGCAGTGGCTTGGCTCTGCCTCTGCCATTGCTGCCGTCCATGGGCGACGATAACCACTCACCTTCAGGTGGGCCATTTGCTCGTCTGCTTACAATAAATAAGCGGGCAATAAAAAAAAATTAAGGATTTTACCCTAATTTCATTTTTGTCCACAGCTCGCAAAACTATATTAGACGGTCTGTCTGGATCATTCAATGCTGGTGAGCTCACAGTTATAATGGGACACTCCGGAGCGGGAAAGAGCACACTCTTAGACATACTTGCAGGCTATACGTGAGTGTAATATATATACTTAGTATAATAGTATTATATTTATGGTCTTCGGTTTTCGCGGGTCATAGATTTCGACAGTCGGAAATATTTCACGACAGAAAAAAAAAACGCGATTTAAACCTTAAACTTAGTTTTATTAGCTTATTCACTTAATTAGTAATTAATTATTTTATTAATTTATTATTATTAACGTATTTGAACTTTGTGCACAGGGTTAAATGCTTAACTGATTTGTGAAACTTGCATGCGCGGGTAAATCATTGAAAAACCGTTCATTGTTACTCGTCGCAGAGACTTAGATTTTATAAAATTTAGAAAATGTGGTTACAGACCTCATATTCAAACACATAATTTTCAAATATGTATAGTAAATAAGAATGTTTCAAAATCGTTCAAGATGATTTCATCTATCTTTATTAATAATGAACAATAACTTAAGTAAAACCATAAGTTTTCCAACCCTAAGCCACCATCACACTTGGTGATCGTCACGTTATCGTTATCATCAACCCACAGTCGTCCACTGCTGGACATGGACCTGTTCCAATCTATACCACTAAGCCCGATCCTTGACTCTTCTCATCCATTACTTGCCGGCCACGCTTAGAAGGTCATCGCACTACCTAGCGTGGTCATCATGATGTCTGAGGACAAATCATTGACTCTACTACATATTACAATTTTATTTTAAACCATCTTCTGATATGTTGTGCGTTCAGTTTGATAAATACAAAAATTTCAGTTCAGTTCAGTTTGCTAAATACCAAATTTGGTAATTCCAAAAAAAGGATCGATATTTTAAAACGGCAAAGTGTTACTAAACTCTTCAATTTTAATTTTTTTATATAATCACTGGTGGTAGGACCTCTTGTGAGTACTGGTGGTAGGACCACTTGTGAATCCGCGCGGGTAAGTACCATCGCCCTGTCTATTTCTGCCGTGAAGCAGTAATGCGTTTCTGTCTGAGGGGTAGGGCAGCCGTTGTAACTATACTGAGATCTTAGAACTTATATCTCAAGGTGTGTGGCGCATTTACGTTGTAGATGTCTATGGGCTCTAGTAACCACTTAACACCAGGTGAGCTGTGAGCTCGTCCACGAATTAATTATTTTCAATCAATCTATTGATTGACGACGATCTTTAGGTAACTAAGACACACTTCGCGCTCGAAGGTGATATCAGATTAATGTCTGCATGCAATTAATCATTGATTAACAATTAAATTCGAACAATTCTTGTCATATCTGTCGCTTGAGTGTTTTTCGATACTTTGTTATAATGCGATAAATCGAACACGTTGTACTTCGTCACAATGTACTTCGTAATATTTATTTAAATGTATATTCAATAAATTAAGGCTAATTATATTTTTGCTATTAAAAACACATGTAGGTTTTTTTTGTAAAATTTAAATACGTGCATTAAAAGGATGCGGCCAATTATAATTTTTACTACCCTATTGTGTTTACGCAAAAAAAAGAGTAACGGGAATACTGCCACCCCCCTTAAAATATGAAATCGAAGCCTCATTTGAATTATATTAATAGATCCCCTACTCTTCAAACAGGAATACATAACTGTTTTGCGGCAGGCCTAGGCACCTATCCATACTCATACGGCATTATAAATCACCCTACCAACAGTCACTTCGAAAATTTATTAATTATGCAGATTTTGGTATAACAAAATTTTATTAGACGACGCTTTTCCTTAATCTTGGCATTTGTTCTTAATAATCTTTAACACCGCGTTAAGTACCTAATTAGTTATCTATAAGTATGTGTCAAAAACTTTAACCCCGACAGCTTATATCGGACTTTCGAGCCACCACCATGAAATTCTGAAAATAATCGAGGGGTGAAAGGCAATATGTATCTTTAGAAATAAAAGTGCGTTTTATTTGGTATTATCATCAATAGCTCGATGTTTTTAATTGAATTTCAATTAAGTTTAATCTTTTGATATACCTAAAAAAAATTTTTGTTATGATATTTTTTCGAAATTTTAAACTTTAAATGGCTCACTTGTAAGTTTTGAAAAATGTCGTTTAAACCAAATAGCCCTTCATAACTCTATATAACTAGTCTGGTCATATGTATTGTCACACAGTAAAAACTTTTCTTTTCGAATGCTGGCCACAAAAAAGTTTATTGAATTCGAATTTCGAATTGTTCATGAAAATAAAAATGTATACTTTTAGAATTTTACTCATTTTAAAATATGTAGTGGACGCTTAAAGAAGACCGTGTTGCAGTTATTGCGTTGCATCGTTGCGGTTACGCGCCAATTCAAATTTTTAACATACTGAAAATTTTGAATATAACCAAAAGATTCGTTTATCGTACCATCAAACGATACAATGAAGACTCTAGTGTAGATGACAGGTCAAGAAGTGGTCGCCCTCGGTCTGTTAGGACTCCAGCAGTGATAAAAGCTGTGAAGGCGCGAATTCAAAGAAATCCCAAACGTAAGCAGAAACTGTTGGCCCTTCAGATGGGGTTAAGCAGAACCACGGTGAAAAGGGTGTTAAATGAAGACTTAGGGCTTCGGGCATATCGAAGAAAAACAGGACATCGTTTGAATGCTCGTCTAATGGACCTGAGACTGAAGAGATGCCGCGCTTTGTTGAAGCGGTACGCGGGAAAAAAATATCGGGAAATTCTTTTTTCGGATGAAAAAATTTTTACCGTAGAAGAGAGCTACAACAAACAAAATGATAAGGTGTACGCACACAGTAGTGAAGAAGCGAGCAACCGTATTCCGCGTGTCCAACGAGGTCATTTTCCATCCTCGCTCATGGTATGGTTGGGAGTTTCTTATTGGGGCTTAACAGAGGTACATTTTTGTGAGAAAGGTGTAAAAACGAATGCAGTTGTGTATCAAAATACAGTCCTGACGAACCTTGTGGAACCTGTTTCTCATACCATGTTCAATAACAGGCACTGGGTATTCCAACAAGATTCGGCGCCAGCTCATAGAGCGAAGAGCACACAAGACTGGCTGGCGGCGCGTGAAATCGACTTCATCCGGCACGAAGACTGGCCCTCCTCCAGTCCAGATTTGAATCCGTTAGATTACAAGATATGGCAACACTTGGAGGAAAAGGCGTGCTCAAAGCCTCATCCCAATTTGGAGTCACTCAAGACATCCTTGATTAAGGCAGCCGCCGATATTGACATGGACCTCGTTCGTGCTGCGATAGACGACTGGCCGCGCAGATTGAAGGCCTGTATTCAAAATCACGGAGGTCATTTTGAATAAACTTTAGTGTCATAAGAATCTATGTTTTGTTAAGTTCATTTTGGTATATGAATGGTTACATAATGAATAAACTTGTTTCAATTATTTTACATTAAACATGTGACAGAATTTATGACCTGACTAGGTATATATAATAATGCACGTACCGCACTTGCACTCTTGCCTAAATAAGTGCAGACAAAGTCTAAGTAACTAAAATAAATTACGTTACGACTGAACGCGTTTAAGGACCGTGACAGATTTATTCGTTCACTTCTGGATCAATCGTGACGTTCAAACAGTGCCGTAAAAATTCGCATTGAGCGTATGCTCATTAAAGACTTTAGAATACTTTAGATATACAGCATTTTATCACAAACCTTATAATAAATTTGTAATAAATTAAAATTATTATTTGAGAAGTTTAATGTTAATCATATATTTTATCGTTACAACTCTTATAGGTACAAAAAGGTAAGATGATTTAAATTATATAAAATTAATAATTTTGTGCAGCGACCGGCTCGTGCGCGTTATTCAGTTTTATTTTTCTTTATCGACCCTCTGTATTTTTACGAATCCTGCGCAGGCGTCGCCGCGTCGGTCGCACAGCGTTGTTCGACACTTTAGGGTTTCACTTAGCGTGCGAGGATTAATTATTTTACTTCGGTTCCGCATATTACAGAAGTAATTAAATGCTTAGCAATTATAAAATTTGGTGAGCCACAAAAAAAACAAAAAAAACAACATTAAACTAATTTGGAGGGCATACAAAGGTTTTGTTTGCAATTAAAAAAACAGGCAGCAATCCTTGTTCCACAAATAATTTTGATAATGATCAAAAATTAAATCATGAATAGGCAGCTTACAATAACATCAGTTTGCATAATAAACATTCAGTCCGCAAAATAACTATTTGATCAGCAAAATTTCATGTTTGATCAGCAGAGAAAACATGTCTATGTGCAATATGTTTCATTGGAATGCATATTTAAAACATACTGAGCAAAATAACTAATTGGATTGCATTTTTGTTGAAAAATCGACAATGTACGTTAAAAGTGCACGGAGTAAAAGCAAGCGCGTGACACGAGGAGACAATCGCGTGTGAGCATTGTCATTCGATGATTATACGGCGATTACTGGTGGTACTTACTGGTGGTAGGACCTCTTGTGAGCCCGCACGGGTAGGTACCACCACCCTGCCTATTTCTGCCGTGAAGCAGTAATGCGGCAGCCGTTGTAACTATACTTGAGACCTTAGAACATATCTCAAGATGGGAGGCGCATTTACGCTGTAGATGTCTATGGGCTCCAGTAACCACTTAACACCAGGTGGGCTGTGAGCTCGTAGATGGGTATCTAAGCAATAAAAAATATTAGCAGTCAAATTGCAGTGGAAACAACGTCTTTTAAAGAGATTTGTGTAGTTTTTGTGATTATAATACGATTGTTTTACGAGTAAAATGAATAATAATTGTAATGAAAAATCGATGCCGGTGGCCAAAAAGAAACCAAAGCTGTCTTTGTACTGAAAATTAGTTCAAAATATGCAGCTCAAAATGAATTTTTTTGCTTACCCCCTGAGTGCTTACCAAAATTTTATTAAACAGGAGCAGCTCATTGCAGCTTATATATATAAATAATATTTATATAATAAATAATATTTATTCGTAGGTTCAACATTAAACTTTTTATTTTATACACACGTACCCATCTGCGATTACGTAAACACTGCTATAACACTCAAGCCTCCTTGA